CTTTTCTTTGACATAATTTCTTTGAAAATTTATATCCTTTCATCTTGTTTTATTCTCAGGTAAAAAAAGCAACAGAAATTCTGCTAAGGCCCGGGTCCAATGGCACAGTCGCGGGAAGGCAGCTCTAAAGGAGCAGCGGGGAGCTGCTGGAGCATGAGCGGGGCAGAGCGAGTCCCTCTCGCCTCCAGGGCGCCTCATATCCTGGGACTGAGGATGACGCAACACCTACGGGTCATCCCTGGAGACAGGTTTCCAAGGAAGGGTGTTTGGCTTGTTCCAAGGACAGACGCTCAGGAACTAAGGCAGGTATGTTTTGAGGAAGCAGTTCCTTTTCCCCAGATGCCACACGGAGAGAGCCTGCTTTGGCCTCCTTTCCTGATCCTCTATGGCTGGGCCATCCAGGATGGATTAATACAATTTCCACAAGAAAACATTTTTATGTTTGAAGTTTGATACTATCCAAGGAATACAGCAGGTTCATTGAAAAAAAATCTTAGCATGCAACAAAATTCAACGAACACAATGAGAACAAGTCAATAACGTTACAACATTTTGATGAATTTCCCTCAGTTATTTTCTTAGGCTCATTAATACTTATTTTTGTAGTTATAGATTTGCATGATCATTATTTGGCATCCAATCCTCATTTATGACCAAAATTGCATAATACAGCATGACCAATGTTACGTTAGCCTTTGATAAAACCCACCAGTTTTTGCATTATGCATTGACTTCTGATCCATAACTAATTTCCCTCTAAATGTGTTTATCACCTGATGAATATTTTAAGGCATCACAAGAAACCATGGTGTAGACTTCCCTTTCTGGTTTGACAATCACCTAATTCATCAATGTAGCAATATTTTTGTAAATTGTTCTGCCACTTATATAAATATGTCAAGTATCTGCTTAAATATGAATGAAAAAATTTAAATATGGAAAGAAAGCTGTAATGTTTTATTGAGAATTATTTTTGTAAGATGAAGAATTAAAAGAATGATCTGAAAAGGGGTAGACTGAGAATAAAAGTGTTCTTGTGAATCTTGCATTAATTCATGCTAATAAAATCAATTTCCATTTCGATTTAAAAGTGACTCTTCCAGGAAAACCTGTTCATAACTCCATATTAACATAGAATGAAGTAAATCCAAAATTGTGAAATGTTCAGTTCTTCCTTAGTTGTTTGTATGTTGGTCAATTAAGTTAACCAAATGTAATTTATAAAAGACAAGTGGATATTCTATAAGAGAAAGCCATTGTGCATTAAAAATATTGCAGGAAAAGAAGTCATCCAATGATAATGTCCAGCATTTACTAAAACTGCCTGAAATGTTTTACATCCATCACCTGAATTAATCTTCATTATAACTCTACTGATCTGGAATTATTAATTATCTTGTGCCACTGAAGAAACTAAAATTTTAAAGTTTCCATGACTTATTAGGGGTTACACAGCTAAAAGGATAAGAGATCTAGAATCTAAATCTTAGAATGTCTCGTTCCAAAGCCAGTGCTCAAAATCACTCTTCTACATTCCTTGTCTAAACAATAGATGAAATGATTTATAAAACCACTATCATTGTGACAAAAATGGAGCTATTTGCATATAAAATTCAGTCTTATTCGAGTATGCATGGTAATTTGTTTGGTATAGTTTAAAAGACAATATCCCTATTATCTTATTTTGTTCATCAGTTGTCCTTAAAAACACATATATATGGAACATAGTTTAACACATATTCTATGATTTACATTGCAATGTGGATTTGAAAAGACCAATTCCTGCAAATGTCCAAGAGTGCATGTGATTAATAAAGGATGGCTCAACAGAAACAAAAACAAATGAAAAGGCTTCATTGTTTTTGGAGACAGCAAAGAAATACCCAACAGGCAAGAGAGCACAGAGAGGTGGACAGGTTAGCATCACAGTTACTGTAGCAGCCGGGAGCCCTCTCTCTGCAGGACTCTAATGAGAGCCTTTTTCACGTCCTGATTTCTCAGACTGTAGATGAGTGGATTCAGCATGGGGATCACAATAGTGTAAAATACAGACGCCACTTGATCCTTTCCCAAGGAGTAGGACTTTCGTGGTCTTAAGTAAGTAAAAATCAGAGTGCCATAAAAGACGGTGACTCCCAGGAGATGGGAGGCACACGTGGAAAAGGCTTTTCTCCTCCCTGAAGTGGAGGAAATTTTCAGGACAGTGGACAGAATGGACAGATAAGACCCACATATTATGGTAAGAGATCCCATTAGGGTGGAGCCAGCAAAAACGAATATCATGATTTCTATGCTTTGTGTGTCAGTGCAGGACAGGGCTAGGATTGGGGAAATGTCACAGAAAAAGTGATGGATTACATTGGAGTCACAGAAATGCAGTCTGCTCATGCGAAGCACATTGATAACCGAGTCCAAAAAGCCTTTCCCATAGGACCCAAAGATGAGGGAGCAGCAGAGTCTTGAGGACATGACAACTGGGTAGTGTAGAGGTTTGCAGATAGCTACATAGCGATCATAGGCCATTGAGGAGAGAAGTAAGCATTCAGTGGTACCCAAGAAGATAAAGAAGTACAGCTGGCTGAAGCAGCTCACGTATGAAATGTGCTTGGTGGAAGTCAGTAAGTTCTCTAAGGTTTTAGGTGTGATGACGTTGGAGTAACTGAGGTCAAGAAATGACAGGTGACTGAGGAAAAAGTACATGGGGGTGTGAAGCTGGAGATCCAGGCGGATTAGCAGGATCATGCCCGCGTTTCCCAGCACACTGGTCAGGTATATCAGGAGAAACAGGGTGAAGAGGGCCCGCCCGAGCCCCTCAGAGCCCGTCAGCCCCACGAGCACGAAGTGAGACACGTCTGTGCTGTTCCTTCTATCCATTGAGGTCACTGCTCAGCCTGTTGGGAATCAAGGTGACACTTGGCAGGAGTGGGTTCAAAGGGGTTACTTATATTAGTTTAACATTTCTAAAAACTGATGAAATGAGTGATTTACAGAATGTGATGGGGAAAACTGAATTTGATTGGCAAATACAGATATAGGCATAAATTGATACATGGGAATGATGTAATAAAAATCAACATATTGCATAATTAGAATGAAACTTAGAGTGTTCTAAATGCTTCCCTTTATTCATATGTCTATTCCACATGATAATATTATACCACACGTGCTACTATTAGCCACATTTTTTAAATGAGAAAAAGGGCACAGACAGTAAGTCACTTATTGAGTCAGAGCTATTAAATGTTGGCTCTGTCATTCTACCAAGATAGACTGACACTACAGGAGATGCTAATTATACTATATTCCTGATAATAATTAGAGCAAACGTAGGGGAAAATACTAGATATATCAAAAATAATGACAGAAAAACACTTTCTATTAATCATTTACTGTTCTTTTGTTTTGAAAATTATATAATTTTTTATAAATAGATTTGAAACCTAGGGAAGAAAATTATAGAATGCATATTAGTATTAATTTCCAAAGGATATGTTTTTCTAAGATGAACATTGAAAATCTGATTACTTTCAAAAATCCTATTTCTAAGACATTCACCTTGCTTGTAGACCACAACTCCATCAACTCTCTACTTCAGGTTTCACAAACCCTGACTTCCCTAGGATGAGGTCTTAGAGTGTGTGTATGCATACTTCTCTGGAAATGCCCCCATTATATTTGATCCTAATTAAAACGCTCTAATTTTGAGAGTAAGACTTACCAAGACCCAAAGTCGGTGGGAAAAGAAAACCATTCTTCGAAATATTATCTGTCTAGAAATTTTTCAACTTCAAGTTTTTTCACAAGTAAAATATGAAAACCATTTGAGTCAAAAATTTCTGTAACATGTCCTTTTCTTTGACATAATTTCTTTCAAAATTTATATCCTTTCATCTTGTTTTATTCTCAGGTAAAAAAAGCAACAGAAATTCTGCTAAGGCCCGGGTCCAATGGCACAGTCGCGGGAAGGCAGCTCTAAAGGAGCAGCGGGGAGCTGCTGGAGCATGAGCGGGGCAGAGCGAGTCCCTCTCGCCTCCAGGGCGCCTCATATCCTGGGACTGAGGATGACGCAACACCTACGGGTCATCCCTGGAGACAGGTTTCCAAGGAAGGGTGTTTGGCTTGTTCCAAGGACAGACGCTCAGGGACTAAGGCAGGTATGTTTTGAGGAAGCAGTTCCTTTTCCCCAGATGCCACACGGAGAGAGCCTGCTTTGGCCTCCTTTCCTGACCCTCTATGGCTGGGCCATCCAGGATGGATTAATACAATTTCCACAAGAAAACATTT